TCAGTCTTGGCTGACACGAGACAAGAGGACATAACTGATTTGAGGGGAAGGCTGTCAAGGAGGACAGTCACTAAAGGGAGACCCTAGAACCACCTTCCAAATCCTTGAACTGAACACAGCCCCGTGCCCCTCCCCGCCACTTTCAGTTCCAGACATCCATCTTAAACAGATCAGACAAACACAACTGCATGGTCCAAGCATGTGGTGATTTTTATTAAGAATAACTTTGGTTCTAAGAATTCCACCCTCAATTCTGTAATACTTTCTGTTAAAAACAATTATACAAGAGCAAATACAAAAAATATTAAATTATGAAAACAAATCCATTAAGGCTCCCTTTATATATATTATATACACTCAAACAAGTCAAGGTTTTTCAGAGTAGAAGAATAAAGTCAACTGTTATAGCTTAGAAAGCAACACTACTTTACTACTAGGAGACTATAAAACACTGAACTATTTTAAGAAAAATCACAGAGTGGAAAAATGGAGCCATTTTTGTCACAAAGTGGCTCAAAGCACAAAACTGCTGGATGTTCATGAGTCCTGGGGGTTTGGACTACACAGTATTAAAGCGTGGGGAGGGGGGAGGATTGATGCCTTTTTAAACTCAGGCCTGTGAGCCAAGCTGATATGACGACTTCCAAGAGTGTCTCCACCTGGACCTTGCACAGTTTAGTCCTAAGACATCCCTGTACGTTAGTTACAAGTCTTCTTTTGGCCAGACCTTGTACTGCCAACAACAAATAATTCTGCAGATTTGTGAGTGAGATTGGGAGGGACAGGCTTTTGTACTTTATCTTTTCCCGGTGAAGAATGAATCCTAGGTAAGGTCTAGGAACAGACCTGGTCCTTCTAAAGGAGCCTGTGAGGGCCCTGGAGAATTTTATCAAGTGACAGAACTGCTTCAAGGACACAGGATCTAAAGCTCTGACATGCAGTTAGATTACAGGCCATGTGTGAGCCAGTCCTGGATCTTCATTTGACAAGTCACACCATTAGTCCACATATACGAAGAGAGAACTTTAGTCAAGGTGCAATCAGAAGTGTACTTTCAAGATGATCCCTTAACTTACTTTCTTCTCTCAAAAGGAAAAATGATGGGAAAACATAGCTGCCATTCCATCCTTCCAAAGCAAACTATTCTAGAGCAACATTCTAACTTAAGCACCTCCTATTTTATTCAAATAATACTTGCTGATGAGAGAA